AGAACTTGTCTAATTACCCTTGTGACATAGTTCATTAACATGAATAAAATGTGTCACGCCACCATAAATTGATTGTTTTTGTGCCCAGATAAATATCGAACATGTATATATATCACTGCCAGACATTTTAGGTGTGGTTGAACTTAAAAGCTTTTCAACAGTTTACCTCAACCTTATGAAGTGGTTTAAACGAGCGAAAGTTACTGTTATTATTAATGTTGTATAATCCATGATTATTACTGTCCCTTTCGAAGAGAATTTTTCCGGGCTGGTCGGTCGAAATTTCATATCCAGAACTTCACTGTTCCCTTTACCATGAAATCCAAATAAATTTCTTTCCTTTCATTATTCTATATACTAGCAGCACGACTGAGACCGTCCCAGCAAAACAAAATAATTTTTAAATTTTACGCATTTGTCATCGCTTTGCAATGAAGTCCAAGAGTTATAATAAATTGTATATTCATTTTAATGAAGGGGCGGTTTTGTCGAATTTTCCGCCTTCCGGATACATTAAATTAAAGTAACATTCGAATGCAGAGACATCGAGAAATTTCGTGTATTTTAATGAAACCGATGTTTCATTATGTTCACAAGAAAGATAAATTCAACACCCTCCAAATCTGTTTCCCTAAAATATAATTTAATATCCATCTTTACATAGGTCTTTCCAGCGGTCTATTCCCTTCAGTATTTCCAAATAAAAATTTAATCCGTAGTGACAGGACTTCGAAAATAAAATACACGAGCTACGATGACGAACGTCAGTCGTATTGGAGTCAGATCGTATGGTGAAAATTACTCTATAAACCATGAACTGCAGAACTGTGTACATGGTTTGTAACTTATACACTCATGCAAAGGATGGGTAGTATCAGAAAAGTAAAAATCCATCATGTGTTGTAAATCCAGTCCTCCGTATTTTACATGGCAATTAGTACGTTTTACATCTCAGTTCAATCATTTGTTTTCCATGACAAATAGAACGACGACATTTTAAAGAAGTTTAATAGTCAATAGCACAGAAATGAAG